CCGTAAAAATAGGGATAAAAAAGCTATTTTATTGACAGAAGAGTTTATGCCCAATGGATTGTTGGAACCATATTGATGTAAAGCAGCAATATGAAGAATAATACTGGTAGTAGCACCTGCAATTATAAAAGGAAGGCAATTGAAGGTAACTTTGTCTTATGAAACCCGTTTGGAAAAGCAAAGCAAAAAAAAACAAAAAAAATGATTCTGGAGCGAAGCTGTATGAAAAAAAACACAGTTGCTGGAAAGGAAAACCCCTAGTACAGGGTTGAATTATTTTCACCAATCAGTGCTTAAAAAGGAAATTCGAAGAAAAAAGGATTGAAGGAGGTTAAACATAACAACAATACAGAGAAAAATAAAAAGCAATCCATTTCGGACGAACGGGCCTGGACTGGAGCGCCCAAATTCATCCGAGTCGAAATGACCCTGCTTTTGAGGGCCCGGCCAGGCGCTTCACTCACCGCCGTGCTTCAGTGTTACTTAGGCTTTTTAGCTCGCTACGGTGGATTGGGCTTTGGCGACTTTCTTTGAATTCTATTGGAGATTCTTTGCACATACGTGCGCGCCGCGGCGTGTCGTCAGACTGTGTGCTGACTTGCTCTACTTCACACACATCACATCACATCACATCACATCACATCACATCACATCACATCACAGAACAATCCCCCACCTGCTAGGCTACAGGGCAAAGTGACCCGCCTCGGCTCTGGTTATGGTCGCCTGAGTCCCAGCTCACCAAACAGACAATGAACTGCCTTCCACCCTCGACAGCTCCCCAGATCTCTTTACCAGGCCTCATGCCGTCGTGCTGCTTGAGTTACAGGGCTGCACGGCCAGCCCCTGCGCCGGCCAGCATCATTCTGGCCTTGTCCATTCTCAAGCCTCCGGAACCGAAAACATCAGCAAACACCAGACGAGCCACCAATCAACACCATGGCAGCAGTTCCGACGCCTCCAACTCCCCCATGCGCTGGTCGCCAACCTCCTTCAAATCCGCCACCTATCCCTCACACACCCTCCTCTGGCAAGCCTTACGTCGGTGGAGCTACCATCTCTGCCGCTGCTGCGCCCTATTTTTATCCTGCTGGCTAGCCTCCTCACCCAGGCAGGTTGTCAGAATAAAGAAAGAAAAAGAAGGAAAAAGAAGGGGGAAAAAAGGAAACACAACTTTGGCCGATATTAGTTGGATACATTCCTCCAAGTGCCAGTGTGAGTATGCCCTCAATGAGGGCGTTTCAGCAGATCACAGATGCAGCAGATCGCGTATTACGCCCTGCCTCGCTGGCAGGGGACTACTGAAAAAAGAGAAAAGAAGAAAAAAAAAAAGAGAAAACAACAAAATCTAGAATCTGACCGTTGTAATTGTCAGGTTCATTCTGGAAAGAACTGTGAGCACAGTCACGGAGACTACCCTGCCTGACATTATTGAACTCCAGAAAGTATCTTCTTTCTTTTTTTTCCCCCTTTCACAAGTGGGCCCACGAGGCCCAAACATTATCTTCGTGCCGAGCCTTCCCCGAGCACCCTACTTTTTCGGAGTAGGCTACTTTTGCGACTTAGCATCCCAGTGCACAAGGCAATTGTGGTTTCAGAAAAAAAAAAAAAAAGGATCGATAGGTGGACTCTGTCAAGGTTAGGGATGCGAAATGAATGATCCCAAGACGAAGCGTTGGAAATGCTGGCAATGAGACATGAAACACAAATTGAAGCTGTTGACTATGCGATATGGCCTTGTTTCATTGTCGTCGTCGTCGTCGTCCTCCTCTGGACACGTTAGTGCCCTTCATAAGATCTGTATGGATATTGTCATTTCATAGGCCCCAAGCATGGAGAAGGATAGACCACGCTGCCCTTCTTCCCCTGAACACAACGGCCGCTATTTTTATCTGTATGTCTGGCCTGCAAGGTGCACGAAGTAGATCGTCAAACAGAGCTGCCTACGGTAAACCGTAGGCAGAGAGGGAGAAGAGGACAACAAACAAGGGGCTGTGACAAACTGGTTCATCGGAGCTTCATCGATATAACCAAAAAGAGCTATAATGAACGGTTGTTGTGTTGTGTTGTGTTGTGTTGGAGGGGATAACGTACTTAGGCGGTTTGGTACGTCCTGCGATTCAAACATGGCACATTGAAATAGGATTTGCAGGGGGGAGTAGGCGCATTATGCCCGGCAGCCACTGTGTCCATGTGACTGACTGGTAACAGATCACGGGTTTGAATCCGGATGGTAGGGACTAGCCCGCTCCCGCATTCTTTGTTCGTTTGTCCCCGCGATTGTTCCATGTGACAGCCCAAGCAAGGCACTTTCTTTTAGCGATTTGATTTAGAATTCTGTGCGCCAGCGCAGTATGGCCAGGTAGGTGTACTCTTCACAACCTGTTATTTGGGGGTGTGCTGAAGGGGGTCAGACCCCCCCTTAACACAATCTTCCTCCATCCCCGCCCCCACATTCTTTGTTCCGTTGTCCACTTGGTTGTTCCATGTGACAGCCCAAGCAAGGTACTTCCTTTTAGTGATTTGATTTAGAATTCTGTGCGCCAGCGTAGTATGACCAGGTGTACCCACCGCAACGTGTTATTTGGGGGTGTGCTCAGGGGTCAGATCCCCCCTAGCAAAATCTTCCCCCATCAGTGTTTCGTCGTTGAAACCACTACTAGCTGGGAGGGCCTCCTTTTTCCCGAAGTAGTGACTGCAATAGGCCCATTTCTCTGGTAATTCCAGGAATTTCATTTGGATTCGAACTCAGGTCTATATTTCCTCCTCCTTTTCTTTACCTCTTTGCCTTTTGGCTGCGTGCAAGTGGGTCCTTGTGACACACGGGAATGGGGGCAGCCAGCGCTCAACCTGTCATCCACGTGGCTGGCCTTGTACGTAAGAGGTGATGAACAGGTGGGGCTTTCCTTCCTTCCTTCTTTTCCTTTCCTTGTTTTTCTTTTTTTCGCCTTTGCGCGCTGATTCACAGTGTGACAATATATTTCAACAGTTCATGGGTGGTGCAAGTGAGCTAGGCCCGAATTTTGTCGTGCTGGACTCTAAGAAAGCGGTACAGTTTTGTCAGGTTGAACAGGTCAGGTCTGGAGGTAGTGGTATAAAGAGGAGATAGCTAGCTATGTGGGCAAGCCGAACCACCTCTTTCTCCCAAAAAGCCTTTTCCTGATCCTCATTCTTCAGGACCTCCTCCTCCTCCTCCTCCTCCTCCTCCTCCTCCTTCTTCCAGAGAGCCTTCCTAATATCTGAGCCATGGCTGCTTGTACTGCGTGCCCACACTTTGTTGCGCCTCTTACGTGGTTCAGTTCGCTTGTAATCTGCGCTTGGCATGACGTGTGCTCTGGAGCGTGAGATTTATGAGGAGAATAGCTCTGATCACTTTGGGCAGAAGCCAGGGGATTTCCCAAGGTAGAACTTGCGAGCCGGTCACTCCAGTGCTGCGGAAGGTTTCCCTTCGAGCCGGTCACTCCAGTGCTGCGGAAGGTTTCCCTTCTTGTGATGATGCCTTAGTGGATTTTATGGAACATGAACCCCACCTGTAATGCTTTCCAGGGGAATGCAGCTCGACTAGCACGCACATGTCCTTTCATATGTTGTCCATTTCAGATAAAAAATTTTGCTACCGTCTTCCCCTGAATAGAATGCCCAGTCATTATCGCTGTATGTAGACAGGAAGTTGGGCCAAATGCTGCTGTCATGACTGGGCATTCTACTTGGGTGAAGACGGTAGTTTGTTTGACGTTCTGAGAGTGAGTGAGGGCATTCTCACACGCTAGCACTTTCCCACATGCATCTGACTGTAACTACGGCCCGACCTGAACGAATCTGACTACAATCTTGTCCAGAGCTTTGACGAAAAAAATCGTACGTCATAGATTGGATCTTGCAGCAAAGTTTCTGGCGTTGTGGGAGTGAGGGCATACTCACACCTGTGCATGCGTTTACCTTAGAGAGTGATGACTAGATGAAACAACCACGTCACTGATGATGGCATTGATGGCATTATTATTAAGTCAGTTGATGGTCAGTCTATGACCGTTGAGAGGAGGTTTTGAGTGATTTGGATTAAGGCATTGTTGAATCACCCACTCCAACTGTTGACGAGGTTCTAAGTGATCTGGATTAGGCATCGTCAGATATAGACCCACCTAGAGGGAAAACTTGCAGAAGGAGGCCTACACAGACGTTGAATCCCACAGCTTCCTTTTTGTGTGCTAATTCTTGACATCTGATTTTGCTGCTGATTTCTTCTTAACCTACTACCGTTCCTTAACCTGTTGTTAGCCGAACTCTGGAGTTACCAAACCACAGGCGTGGCCGAACGGAGGAGGTTCCGACGTTTCATTTCCCAACCGATGCTTGCCGGTTGAGATTGCAATCCACCGGTGGAGGTTGGTGGCCAAAACCGTTTTCCACTTTCTTTTTTCTTTCTCTCTGCGGTCACCCCAGGTCTCCGCTGAGCCCTTAGTCGAATGCACTGTGCTACCCCCCTCCACCTCCCCCCCACCCCTCCCTCCCTCCCCCGTGATCCCTTCCAGGCCCCCGAGTATACTAGTGTGATATCAGGGGAGATGTTGGGGACAGTTGTGGTTTGAAGCCTTGAACGGTGACGTCAAAAAGGTATTGCCCTCAGGGGTTACAGAACAGGATGGGTGCTAAACAAGTGTAGTAGGGTTGAGTTCAGCCAGTTGATGATTTCGTGCTTTGGCATGGGAATCCGACAATGTGTCCTAGACTGCTGTTTATCCGTGCTACAGTTTGGGGGGAAAGGTGATGAAAGCTGATTGTTTGCTGGCAAAATTGAATTTTGAAAAGACAAGAATCCTCTTTAGATTAAAAAAGGAGTTCGGTCGTCGTGTTGTTTCAGGGGGAAGGACGGCTGTGGTCGACGTCATGTTCGTCATCGTCGTCATTTGATGTCGTCCTCATCACCCTTGTCGCCACCATTGTCGCCATCATCGTGGTCATAACGGGAACTTCATGTGGCAAAGCGGTTGAGTTCCGTGCGGCTTGCAGCAGCACAAGGGCCGCATCTCCTCCTCTCTACTTTGACAGCTGGCGGCAAATGATGGGAAGGTGGAAGGAAAGAAGAAAGGGCAGATCATCCACAACCTCTTTTCTCCTCTTTCTATGCCTCATCATTTCACTTGTCAGCAGAGATGTTGTTTGTGAAATTATGAGGACGTCCAACGTTATCACTCAGCGGAGGCCAAATGCAAGGCGGCCTCTGGACGCTTTCCTTCGGGGTGGTGGTCTGCGTGTGGGGGAGAACGCATGGGCGGGCGGCCTCACTCAGCAAACAGATGTGAATAAGAACTCCTTTAACCTCCATAGGTCGTTTCCCATTGTCCTACCGGACCCGGGTCATACTAAGCTGGCATTGTCAGAGGAGGGGCTGGATGTCATATCCCAGATAGACTTGCCTGTTGCGGTCGTTGCAGTGATTGGACCTTACAGGTCAGGGAAGAGTTTTTTGTTAAATCAGTTGCTGAGCCTCTCGTGTGATGAAGGGTTTGGAGTGGGGCACAAGCGAGACACGCAAACAAAGGGGATTTGGGTTTGGGGTCAACCTATCATTGTTGACATTGCGTCCCAGAAGACGGCTGTCTTGTTTCTGGACACAGAGGGTTTTGAAAGTGTTGGGAAGGCCAACGCCTACGATGACAGGATATTTGCGCTCGCAGCGATACTTAGCTCGGTGCTGATATATAATCTTCCAGAAACAGTGCGGGAAGCCGACATACAGAAACTATCATTTGCAGTGGAGCTGGCCGAGGAGTTCTACGGCAGGGTAAAGGGGAGACAAAGCCGTTTCCAGCTTGGAAAATTGCTTTGGCTCATCCAGAGGGACTTCCTCGAGGGGAAGACGGTTCAGGAAATGGTGGACCAGGCTCTGCTCCCTGTGCCCAACCTGTCGAACGACAGGGAGATTGAACGTGTGAATCAGATTCGGCAGTCGCTTTCGCTTCTGGCAAAGAACAACACGGCGTTTGGCCTGCGGCAACCGCATCTGAAGCGCACAAAACTTTGCGAAATGACGGACTCAGACCTGGATCCCCAGTATGTGCAGCAGCGGGACGAGTTGAAGAAGCTTGTTCAGTCCATCATTTCGCCAAAGATCGTCTCCGGGAACCAACTGAACGGAAAGGAGTTTGTGGCATTGCTGAAACAGACGATAGAAGCTCTCAACACTGGCGACATCCCAACCGTTGGATCCATAATGGATGTCTTCAACAGAGAGATTGTTGATCGATGCGCTGACATGTACTCGAAGTGGATGGAAGGCGTACGGTTGCCAGTTCTGGACAGCAGACTTGAGGAGGAGCACAACCGAGCTTTAGAAGTAGTGCGAAGGAAATTTGAAGCGGAGAGGTTTGGGAGAAAAAGTGGGGAGCGTGCACAATCAACCCTGGATAGCACGATCTCAACAATCTATTCGCATATCAGAGAGACAAATTTGCATAAGTCGTCTCGACAGTGTGAGCAGCTGTACATGACGTGTGAGGATGCGATCGACTCCCTGCAGAACATGCGACTACCATCGACGGGAAAGTTCGATGACGAGTTTGGCAAGTGCAACAGGACGTACCAAGAGCTATGTTTTGGACCATCAATGAAGTTCTATCAAGATCGGCTGTTCAAGATGTGGAGCAAAGAAAGGTCACAATTCTTGAAATCTTACAATGAACGCCTTTTCAATTGGATCATTGTGCTGTCTCTGGTGATGGTTGTCACCTCTCGTTTTGTCCTTCGGTCTACCGTGTTGGAGATGGTGTTCTGGTCGCTCTTTGTGTTTCTGGAAGCTTACACACGGATCTTTATGTCCGTTCAAGAGTTGTATTATAATGCGGCGTGGCGAGCATTTGTCACAGTCTGGGAGTTGATTGTATATAATGCAGCCCTTGATTTGAACAGATGGTTTGTGCCATTGGTTTGGTTCGTCGTTGTACTCCTGGCAGCATGCAAGTTTGTCAGGACGCGTCGACGACGGATAGGGATGGCTCTCCCAGCAGCGTCGTCTATCCTGCGGGCCAAGCAGAGTTTTAGATCTCCAAGACTTGAAGTGAGCAAGAGAAAATAGTGAGGGAGATAACTGAACTTGACGAAACTACCGTGGGTCAGGTTGATTGACGGAACCTGAGACATGTGGTTGTGGCCACATCGCCTGGCCATTACTTACGCTGGGAGGGGGTTGGGGAAGAAGCGTCCGGGAGACATGTCTGTGCGGAACCGGATACCTAGAAGTTTGGTTTGAGTTGAATCGTCAACAGACTGGAAACCTGCAGTTGTTTGTTCGCGTGCATGTGCCTGTGTGTGTTGCATTTCTTTTTTTCCTTTCGTTGGCACTCTTTTCCAGTAAGCATACCAGCGAGTTCTCAGCATGCGAGAAAAGATTTTGAAGCAGTAGGAGGAATAACGGGGAAGGAGAGAGGTGGGGTCAGTTTGGCATTGACTAAGGCGGATGTCCAGATCCTTAGTGTTCCTCTGCCGAGTAAAGACTTCGACACATGTCTTTGAGTTACTGCATGAAGCAGAGAGGCAATTTGCTAATGTGCGCGCACATGCTGAAGAATGATTGACGGATGGAAGGGCAGGATGAACAAGGACTCAGGGGAAGGTCTGCAAAGTTTTGAAGAGCAGATGTTTGGGTCTCTCTGATGTTAGCAGAGCTATTGAGCATCACTTAACTGAGATGTCCTGCAAGTTCAAGACATGTCTTCCGGGCCATTGCCAGCTCCGGCACCTACGGTCAAAATGGCGATTACCAATGTGGAGTCCTGTGGATGGTTGTGGTGTGGTTGGTAGTGAGAACTTGCAGAGCGGTGGTGGTTGTGGTTGTGGTGGAGGTGGAGGTGGTGGTGATGATGATGATGATGATGATGGCTCGTTGATATTGATGATGACAGTTATCCTACGTCAAGGAATTCGTTAAAGCTTAAAAGAGTTGTTCAGCAGTTGTAGTTTTCTGTTTAGATGTGTTCCCTTGTTATTGCTGTCATTTTGGAAGATGGAGGGTTGGGGGAGGGGGAAGGAGAACCATTGCCATGCATTATTGGTGTTTTGGCACTGATGGTGCATCGATTGATTCATGTTGAAACTGACACGACTGTGGACCTGCGCAGAAGTTGTCATTAGTGATTCTTACTTTACTATTATATGACCGCACTCACCCCTTTTTTCCGATAGGAGCCCTCTGTGGCGGAGGCGGCAAATAAACAGCATGTTAACAGTCTTGTCTGTGTTTGTGAGGAGCATAGCACTCTACATGCTGAATTTATCAGGCACTCAAGCCCTTTGTAGCGAACCGATGATGATGATGAGACTTTGTGTTATGGGTTGTGTGTGTATGGGATGAGGTTTTGGGGGAGATAGGAAAAAGGGGGGTTATTTGATGCTCATGCAGGGGGTGAACGAACCACCATTCCTCCCGTTCCTATTGGTGACCGCTGTTTTTGAAGTGCACGCTCTGAAGGGCGTCTAAGGGTTTGGCTGGCTGGCTGGCTATCCTGAGATGGATATTCTCCCACCTCTCCATGCTCATGCACCAGTTGATCATGTGGTGCATGACATCGAAACAAGAGAGGAGCTGGCTATTCCACATATGAGATGTCCTGCTAGAAAGTAGGAATCTCCTGGAAGATAGAACGAGCTGATTCTGCACGGTCTGAGCTTTCAGATTGAGAGAGGGTATGTTGACATCCCAGCTCTCATGAAGCGTGAATTGATACAAAAGGTTGTATGCAAAAAGCCTGAAAATATGAACATCTTATGTATCTGATTGACTAGTGCTGCAGTCAGGACTTGACATAGCTGCGGCTGAAAAATGCGTCGACCCTGATAAAGGTGTCCGGATGTCACAATTGGGCATCCCCTTAATTCTTCCCAGGAGTACACTGGCCTTTTTCCGTAGAGAAGATATTGTGGGTCAGATTGGGAACTCCTGCTGGAATCTGATTCTACAATTTCGGTGAATAATCAATCTCCGGATTTCAGAAGACAGATCACCCTCCATGTGTGCTCTGGGTGTGTATGTGATGTGTAGACAATTGCCAAACATCATCTCTAAATAAATCCATATCCATTTAGAACTAGAATGCGTGCAAGGTTGGCCACGTTTGTGTGGGTCAGCAACCAGTGCCCACAAATCTGTCTTCCCTAACGGGCACACATGCACATATGAAACGAGGGCAGGTAGGAAATGGTGCTCAAACAGCAAAAGACAACATATGCCACTATATCCCATCTATTTGCATCAAGAAAATTACAATTAACAAAAAGCATTTCAAAATCAAGGCCTGACCGGCTTACGATGCTAACATATGTGCACTGCCCTTCCCCAATAAGCCCAAGACCAGCAAATATGAACATAAGGTTCGTGTGTCACCAGGATGTGTGTGTGTGTGTGTGTGTGTGTGTGTGTGTGTGTGTGCATGTGTCTTGTAGATTCTCACCACAACAGCCCCTGTTCCACCCAGATGAGTAGATCCGAAATCGATGAAGCCTCACCTCTATTGCAGACAATGATGCATACTTGAGATGAGCCATTCCAGCAATGGAAGAGTTGTGCATCTCACGTACAAGGCTGGCCACGTTGATTGTGGTTTAGCGCCAACTGCCCACATCCCCATGTGCCTTAATAGCCCACTTGCCCGTTTTGAAAGGAGGCTGTGTGTGTGTGTGTGTGTGTGTGTGTGTGTGTGTGTGTGTGTGTGTGTGTGTGTG